GACAATGAGAGTCTCATCTCCATTTAACCAGCCAAAAACCAGAAGTGGAGCTATGGCTCAAATGATAGAACACTATCCTTCAGAGAGGAGGGACAGTGTCCAAGTACTGAGTTCAAGCCCCAGGGTTGGCACAAAAAAGAAGAAATGTGAGGGAATAAATATAAAAGGGAGTCTGGAGCTGTGTGGGTGGGGGGGAACTAACACATAACCTCTTCACCATGATGATGCCGAGTCTCTATTAGTCAAACCCTAAACATTGCTTAGATTCTCAGATGTAGTGGACTGTGATCCTCTTAACAACCAACCAGGTAGGGGTATTATTAGCCCCATTGTACAGATAAGAAAGGAGTCCTGGAGAAGTGACAAGCTTGACCAGTGAGTGGAACCAGGCTGTGACCTCATACTGCCTCTGTCCTCATTTTTCTCTGAGTACTCTCAGAGGTACATGTTCCTCCAGTGTAACACCCCAGCGATGCTTCCCTGCTCAGATCTCTTGAAGTCAAGAGATCAGTAGAAGGATTCAGTAGAGGGAGCAAGACATGTCTAAAATCCGGAAGTTATCATTTGCTGACCCCACCCACTAAGTCCTATATCCTCATTTCCTGTGTCTCGAGACCATATGCAGGGGCACCTTGCACCCCATTGTCAGTCATATGTGTGTCAACTTAGGGAGGTTAGTACACCACACACACACACACACACACACACACACACAGATGGAAATCAGAAGATACATTCATCACTCTCTGGTAGGTGTCCATGCACAGGACGGCAGACACAGACTGCCTGGACCCATGGAAGGTGCAGAACCTGTGAATATTTCATGCCAGGAGCTGGCGGCTGCCTCTCCTGCTCACACGCGTGCCTGATCTTCCTTCTCACAGGCTCCTTGTTTATTTGTTTAATGAATTATTTATCCAAGCTCCCCCCGCCTTCCCTCCCAGCCTCCCCCTCCTCCAGGCCCTAGCCTCCATGATTTATTAAACGCAGAGCACAGCTCTGTGGTTGCCACCCGCTGTCCCAGGAGTTGCCTTGGGCCACACAGCCTGAGAGCTCTCTCTGCCCCAGACCTGTTCAGCTCCCTGTTTCCTTGGGCCCTGGGGAGTGGGGGGAGTGAGGCACCTGTGTCAAAGGACTCTCAGGGGACCTGAGCTCAATGCTCCTAGAGAGATCATAGCAGCCAGCCATGTTCTGGCAAGCCCTAGGGTCAGTTGGAATTGAAACGAGAACCTGAAGGTGAAGAGAAAGGGGGCGTGAGGCCCAGAAGACTAGCCAGGAGCCAATCTCAGCCTCTACAGAATCCCTCACCCCACAGACAGTAGATCAGAGCAAAGCCTTGCACACCAGGCTGGGTGTGCACCATAGCACAGAATAGGCTATGACCCACTGGGGCAGGGGAAATCAGGAAGTCAGTATTATGACTCTCAAGCAAGTTATTTATCTATTTATTTTGTGCCAGTACGGGGGCTTGAACGCAGGCCTGGGCGCTATCCCTGAGCTTTTTTTGCTCCAGGCTGGTGCTCACTTCTGGCTTTTTGCTGGTTAATTGGAATAATGAATGTCATAGACTTTCCTACCTAGACTGGTTTTGAACTGTGATCTTCAGATCTTAGCCTCCAGAGTAGCTATGATTACAGGCATGAGCCACCAATGCCCAACCAGCTTTATAATTGTTTCCAAAAATTTAGGTCTTTGTAGTAAGAATTGTTTGATGAAACTTACCATTACTGAATTTATATTCAGTAAATATGGGTGAATGTGTTGCGCAGGTACATGCACCAGATTACGATACCAAACATACATCTTACTCTGAGTCATAGTCAGGAATGATGTCCTTATGTTCAAACAAAAGCCTAGACCCCATTGATAGAGGCCTACCTTGGTTCTTCTGTGATCCAAATGCCCATGAAGAAAAACCTGTATCTTCAGACCAGGTCCCAGGTCCATGGACAGAGAGACCTAGTCCCTAGGGAATCCCAGATCTCATGAGTATTGGCTGACAGGCCTAGGATTATGGTTGAAGGAAGCTGCCACATACAATTGTGCAGTTTGTGACACAAAGGAGTCACAGAAGGGCAAGAGGAGGCTGACATCAGCTCAAGCTCCCTGACTAGAATGGGAAAACAGACTCACCTCCCACCGAAGCAAGCAGCACCTTTGTTTTTGGACAAAGGCACTGCTTGCCAAGAGATGCACCCTAGGGACAGAGTCTGCATAGAAGGGTGCCTTTTTAAATCTACACAAAGGCCTGAATCAGCCAGCAGCCTCATGGACAGAGGCCTAGATTCCAGAGCACCAGATTCCATGGACATGGATCTAGGCCCCACAGAGAGTATTTCAAATTGAAAACCAGACTTAGGCCCATAGAGAGAGCTGCTTAAACACTACACAGAAAGAGCTCTAGATTGAAGCTCAGTCATTATTAGAGTGCTAGATGTGGGGTGCTAGATTCTCAAAAGATACATCTGGGCCCTACAGTAAAATGTCCAAAACGTTAAGGAGGACCTCATTTCTTTCTTTTCTTTTCCTTCCTTCCTTCCTTCTTTCCTTCCTTCCTTCCTTCCTTCCTTCCTTCCTTCCTTCCTTCCT